CCTTCACTCGTTGAATCCTCGAGAACCGGTAGAAGGCTGGGTTCCATATGTAAGACCTAAGTGGATCCCATATGTGTAAAGTCCATGGTATAGCCTTGAGCCCGTGTTTCCCCGGCAGACTTCTGCCATTCCAAGAGGGTTACAATCACCTCCATTCTTCCATATGCACCTAAGGAATGTCCATATGTGTATTGCTTCCGAAACCTCCTTCGGGAAGGATGGAGCTTCCGTTACGTCCCTGTTCCAAGTAGAACGGGTACGTTTTCCCAGTGTTATCCAGTCTTACTCATTGGGTAGTGCCATAGCAGCAGTAGCTGGTCCTCTTGTGGGAGCCCTGGCCTACGCCGAAAAGTAGGGGCGCAGGTGGCTTCCACAGGACACTGGAAGGGGCAGTGGCTGTGGCCTTTTGGTAGGATCCCAATTTCGTCGGTCATCCGACATGATGTCGAGAGTGACCGACTGAAAGAGAACGTCTCGGTTACGTATGGTAACCCTCGTTCCCTGAAGGAGGGATCGGAGACGTCACGTCCCGTCGCCACAGCTCCTGTACCACCGCTGAGCGGCCGGGTCACCGGCTCGGCTCCTCAGTGAAAACCTGAATATGCGCTGCATCTGCTGCCTACTTATACTAACGCTGTGATCAACAGCAGCTGGATGCAATAATCGCATGCCAATGTGCATTGGCTCGTTTAGTTTACGCTCAAAGTGGATTGGTCTCTCTAAGCGAGATCCCAATTTCGTCGGTCATCCGACGTGACGTCTCCGTTCCCTCCTTCACGGAACTAGGGTTTCCATACGTAACCGATACGATTTATGATATAAAGCATTCATAAATATTTTGTTTCTATATTTGCTAATATGTAATACTGCTTATGTTTTAGATGTTTCAGCATCTACCCAAATGTTCATAAAAGTATGTTTTTGTTGTAAATGTTATGGATGAATACCTAAATGGCTGCTTTCGTGTCAGAAACAATAAGATGCATTTTCACTGATTAAACACTTAAATGAGTCTTAAGCTTTTCATTTTTCACGTGAGAAGTTTGTATTTCTTTAATGCTGCTGTGAAAGTATAAGCGAGTTTTTAGTAGCACATGCAATAATGTGAGTGTTGCCATGGCAAAGGGATGTCAAAATATCCTAATGAACTAACCATTTGAAGCATAATTACTATGTTTCCTTGTCCTTAAGAGCAGGACCTTTGTAAATTACTCTCTCACTTGCCTGTTACTTGAAGTCTTCTCATACTGGTCTACTTAACAGTTATTGCCCACTCTGGAAGTCAGACTTTCAGAATCTTTGTGACACCTCTTTTTTCTTACTTTCTATAGATGCCTAAAAGCTTTTTTCTGTGTATTTTCTAGTCCCCGTTCCATGAGCTCTTCATAAAATCTCCTTTCAATAAAATAATTATGCTTGTTTGTGTACTATGTTTCTTCACCTGGTCTGTCAAAGTGATCTTGTGAGTATTCATGTCTTTCATGTAAAATGAGGTTTACACCTGTAAAATATAACTTTACAGATCAGTTGATTCTATTGTATTTATCAACAATGAGATTGTTTTCAATCGTCTACAAGCTCTTTAGGACTGCTTGCTAAAAAAATTCAACACTCATTGAAAATTTAAAATTTGTTGCCTTAAAAAGTGTTATGAAGGTTTTTTGTCAATGATATAAAATGCTTATTGACTTTTGCATGCATCAGTGGCAAGCAGTGACTTCCAAACAGAGGTGTGTTTAGAGTTTTGGGGGCCCTAAGCAAGTGTTCCCAGGCGAGGTATAAATTGCATTATGGGGGGTGGGTTTGGGTTCCCCCTCGGTTCAAAGCATGTTTGTGGTTGGTTAGTGAACCCCCCTCTGTACAAATCACGTTCTGCAGGGTCCTCCCAAGACCACGGGGCCCCACGCAATTACATGGTTTGCGTGGTGCCTAAACAAACTACTGCTTCCACAGACACAAATGCATGTCACACACGCTCCTCAAAAATGTTCACTTTGATTTTTATTTTGATTATGGGATATAAAAAGGATTTATGTAAATAAAATATATGAGCAATAATTAAAACCATTGTTTTAGATATAGATCAACCAAAAATCATCCAGGTGGAAATGTGGTCTTAGTCTGTATATATTGAGTGTGTGTATGTGTGAGCATATGTAGAGCACATAAGTATGTTTGTAAGCTGTTCTCACCTTCTGACTCTGTTAAGTCTTTCTTGTTGATCCTCAGTCTGTAGAACTTCCATCCAGTCCTCATATAAGTCACAGCACAAAACACCACCAGGCAGTTTGCGTAAAAACTCCTTCACCCAGACATGCACACACAATTAAATAAAGAATAAAAAGGCCATACATTTTAATATATAGGGCACAGAGGAAATTCTTATGCTCGATCGATTGATTATCAGAATTTAGATTGAGAATGTAGAATAGTGTGAGTGTGACTGTAGATGAAGAATGATTTGTGTGCATTTTATTCAGAGGATATCACTGTTGAATTAAAATGACTGTGTTCTCACCGTAACTAGAGATGCAGAGACGAACACTGATTGTTCATGCAGTGAAATACTTTGCCCAGAATTAATTCGCTCCTTCAGGATTCTACAGTTTTTGGCATTTGCTGAACGACGGAAGATTCCACGGGTCTCTGGACCCTCACAGAACAGCAGATACAGCAGGTCCTGTGCACACACACACACACACACACACACACACACACATACACATAATAGTTAATCAAAGCCAGGGATTCTAAGACTTTTCAGTCAGCCAAACCCCTTCCACCTAAAATATTTATAAAATAAAATGTAAATGATAAATAATAATATAAAATATTGATATTTCAATACATTAACAACACATTCATATGTTCACAGTTCTCTGATGTTGATTAATGATCATAAGACATGCAGGTAATCCATAAAAAATTCAAATTTTTTTCATATATATATTTTTTTCTTCTATTTTTGGTAACAGTTTTATGTTACCAAAAATAGTGATTACCTTTCATTTTAAAATACTTGTTTTTATGATTTGATTAATAATTAGCTTTTAATCAACTCACAAACCCTCTGCAGTTCCCTCACAAACCACAGTTTAGAAAACCCTATTCTAAGCAAATGATAGACAGATGCTCAACCTGACCTAAAATGACCATGAAATGAATGGAAATTTTAATGTCTTAATGACTTATGTAAATGTGTTTAACCTCCATAATTGTAGCTCTGTCACAGGGATAAGCCATTAAGGATTTGACCTTATCTTGAAAGGGTAAAAAATAAATTAATAAAATAATTATAATATACCTACAGTATGAAACCAGTGAACACCTAAATATCTAGCTGCTAGCAGTGTGCTCTTACATTGGCAGCAGATAATATATTTTCGTTTTACAGCTAAAATATTCATGGTGACACAGTGGTGTTTATAAATCAGTAGCAAAAACTGTAAAAAGTAATTATACTTTTAAATATAATAGCTTTTAAATTCAATGAAGCAACTCAAGAGTTTCTTCGTTACTAGTTCTAACGTGACGTTTTCTAATTCGTAATTAGCTTGGGCTCAGCTGTTAAACTGTCAACTTGAGATTTGTGGTGGAAGGAAGTAGTTCTGCATACAATAGCATTTTAAAAGACACCCAGTTCTTGTTTCTTATTTATTTACACACTTGTGCCATTAAACTGTTGTATAAAAGCAATATCATACTTTTAGTGGGATATATAGATATAGACAGGGGTAGATATAGACATGTGGTGCACAGGTGCGCATACATGACCAAAATAAAAAATGCACTGTGTTATTAAGTTCAGACTGCTCATTTGCGTGCACCGACGGGGTTGGTCACTGACGTGGTTGACAGCTGTTAATGCACAATCTACGGTGACAGAGAGAGCTCAATGTGCTGCAAATGGAAAAAAAACATGTAAATAGAAAAAAACACCAACAAATTAAGAAAACATCTTAATCAGTTTTTGCTGCAAATACTCGCAACACAACCAAATACAGAAACATGCTGCAAACAGGCCTAAAAAAATGTTTAAGGGAACCTCAACAAGTGACAACCCTGGCTGGGACATCGGAAATGTCTACTCTGAAAGGTGAAATTTTTGTTTAACATCCTGATCATATTTTTGGAGATTCTTTTTTTTGGACATTATTAGCCTAAATAAGCTGACGAAATACACAATTACTACTGTGAAACGTTATGTAAGCTGGCTAGCTAATTTTCACAACTTCCCTTATGAAAATTAACCATGGTTTTACTATATATATATATATATATTAAAAAAATGGTTACAATAGTTAAACCATGGTAACCACAAATTAACCATGGTTTTGCTAAACTAACCATAGTTTAACCATGGTATTTGTAAAGCTGTGGTTATAGGCCTACAAATGGTAATCAGTGTGCCAAAAAAAGAGGTTATTACACTTTCACTACAATAAAACCATGGTTAATTTTCACAAGCATTGTGGGGTCACCTTGAAACATTCGCTGAGCAAATTAAGGGACTGTCTCAAAAGTGCATAAAAATTATAAAAAAGATATACATTCCAAGATTCGAAAACAAGCAAAGCATCATGCAAATAAAATGTGAAGATGTGAATTAAGTGGAAAAACATTAATACATAAAGCTGTGAATGGGATAGTCACTATGAATTGTTACATTGTTATTACATTGTACTCCAAGATTTTCTTTTAGCTGGTAGAAACAGGTGTTGTTATGGCACCTGTAATATATTCAGTAACACTTTTAACACATCATACATGACTTGGATTTCGGAAATGTAATTTTTTCTGTTTTAATAGATTTTTTTTTTTTAAATATACATATCTATATAACTTCCTGCCTTTGTGACCGATGTCACACCAGTTGTGATATCTTCACACACACCTGTCTTCGCACACATCATACATGACTTGTATTTTGGAAATATGATTTTGTGATTTTTTAAATGAATTTTTCAAATAAACAAAAATATATATTACTTCCTGGTCATGTGACCCAATGATGTCACACCAGTTGTAATATCTTCACATAATCCTGACACACATCATTCACGACTTAATATATAATTTTGTGTATTTTTGGTGAATTGTTCATGTTATAGACTGACTCAGGGTGAACGTGCTCTTTTGCATATTGCCCTAGGGACTTTAGATGATGAAGCAGCGTTTTCGCATGACTGATAAGCACATCTCTTGAATGGTCTAAAATCAGCCAATCGTCCAGATAATTTATAATGTGCATACCACTCGCTCTGAGAGGGGAAAGTGCTGCATCCATGCACTTCGAGAACGTGTGGGGGATAAAGCCAGCACAAAAGGGAAAACTGAATACTGATACGCTGTGCCATCGAACACAAACCTCAGGAAGCAATCTGAATATGGAAATATGCATCATTCAGATCTACGGATGCAAGCTAGTCCCCAGCATGAATTTGTGCAAGGATCTGCTGCAGAGTCGTCATCCTGAACGCGCACTTGTGAAATGCTGTGTTGATGGGTCTCAGGTCCAGGATCAGACAGAGTCCCCCATCTCTCTTGGCACGACAGAGTAGCAGCTGTAAAACTCGCTCTCCAGCTCGCTCGGAGGGACTTGCTTCATCGCTCCTTTCACGAGCAGGCAGTGAATCTCTTGTCTCAAAACAGGAGCATTTTGAAGCAATGTCAGTGGTGGGGTCATGGCGTTGAAATGGGGTGGTCTGCGTCTGAACTGGACAAAATACCTGTGTTCTATTATGCCCAGCAGCGAACGCGAAATGCCCGGAATAGCTCTCCACGCATCTAGGAACTGACATAATGGCCGTGTCTCTCCATTCGCTATCGCTGGCAGTGATGTTTGTATACTGGCACCTCACTGGGGCTAAGAAACACGCTAGCAGGGAAGCAGCTTGTGAAGGATTACACCGGGAAGCCATAACAGGCACAGACAATGGCTCTGCACTGCTCTGAGGCACTGCTCTGTGTTTAAATTGAGCAAACAGAAATATAAACCTTGCATTTTTCGCCTGCAGGAGCAAGGGGAACATAATGCAGGATTCGGCGCTCGACTGGAAGTACCAGGAGTCGAGCCAATTCCTGGCAGGTTCCCCTGCCCAGTTGAGGTCGCTCAGGGCGAAGGCTCTCGTCAGCGAAAAGGACTGGGTGAGAGGAGGGCACACCAGTGACTCGCTGGCGGCAGTAGGCCCTGTCCCCATAAGGCCACGAGCGGTGCTTCTCCGAGTCCTCAAACACATGCCAGCAAGTCAGCTCAGAGCACGCAGTCGGACTTAGCGTAGCCTCAGCGTGGGCCAAGCCCAGGCAGGCGATGCAGTGCTCGTGTGGGTCCAACGGATTGATGGAGCCCGCACAAATTCAATAAAAGGTGCCATTAGATGCTTTGAAGAAGTTCTGGTGTCTTCGACAATGGCAGCGTGAAGGAAAAGATTCTGAGGCAATTGTCACTCTCGCCACATTTATACTGCGTGCGAGCTTGTCAGTAATCGCATGCGATTTGCATAAGTAGCGACAATTGGCCAGTTTATTGAACTGGCGTTATCCTGTAAGATTTCAGGAAATTGGAGAAGGGGAGGAGCTCCCAATCGCAATTCTCATAATGTAGAGTGAACACTCGATAGGGAACTGACATTTCATTGCCGGCAACCCGCCAAAATAAAAGCTTGCTGATTTTAGGTTTGAAAAGAATGAAAATCTATATAAAAATTTAAATTTAAATAAAAACAATTCAAAATTAGTATTGTATTTTTAAGTGTACTATAATATAACTCTATTTTCATTTAAATACAAATTGTTATCACACTCTTTATAATTTTATTATTTTATTTAAAAATACAAAATAAATAAAGTGAAACAATAGTATTATCCCTTTTATTCATTCTTTTATTTTTATAGTGATAATTAATGAGTCACACTATGTGCAGTGTGAGCACCAAACCAAATTTACAGGTGCTCTCATGACTGAAAAACTTATGTGCACCCCTGGATATAGGGTCATATCGCATGCCTACTTGTGTCATATAGCTCATATATAGCTCTGGGTCCTTCACTATATATTGTCATGTTGGGTTTTATTGTCTATGAGCGCTCCTCATTCATGGCACTTTCACTAAGACAGAGGTTACAGTACTTGAATGATGGACAATAAAACCCAACATAGCAAAATATAGTGAAACAAAAAGATCCAGAGCCAGTGATATCCTTACCATTACTGGCTTGGGCAGGTTTCCATCAGGACAAATGGAAGAAAGAGGCTGGCCAAATAGCTTGTGAGAGGCAGTTTGCGGGTCAGATTGGCCATCAGATTGGTTAAAGTGTCCCCTCCTCAGAGCCCAATCAATCAGAGACCTTTTCCTTTTATGTTTCAGCAAAGCACCTGTCAATGAAACACAACGGACCAATCACACTTTGGCAAATTCATTATTTGGAAGGCTACTATTCTGCTGATTCCAGTTTGTTTAGTTTGACAAATGGTTGCATCTACTTTATTTTAAAAAGAAGGGAGGGAGGGGGAGAGAGAGAGAGAGAGAGAGAGAGAAAGAAAGAAAAACAAGGAAAATTGCTCCCTCTTTCAAGTAAATTTTTCCTCTCAGCATTTTAGTGTCACTAAGTGTTGCATGTCTCATCTATTCAGTCTGATCACATGCTTTGATGTCCTCAATTTCCCTGTAGTGTAATGGTGTGTGTAGAGAGATAAGGAGGGCATGAGTGAGCCACTCTCAGCCGTAGAAGATATCAGAACAGGCTGAATCCTGTGTGATTATGCTGAATGGTCCTCTTAAAGCTCTTCGTCTAGTTCTGAATGCAAGGGCTCTATTATTAATAACTGACCCTTGCTGGCACTATGAACAATCAAGTGTAATTTGATGAGATGTGAGAGGAATCCAAATAGCTTATTGGTAGTGTCAGAGGTAATATAATAAGCATTATTTACTTAATCATTTAGTGCTGGAAAATGAATGAACACTGAAATGTCCTTAACAGCATTGCCAAAAATCTATGATTGTATTCAAAGGTTCATTACAATAATTGGACACTCATGCAATTGCAAAAGAGAAAAGAACTGGAGCGTTTGCACAGTGGTAACAGTAATTACATGTTGCTAGGACATTGTTCATCTGTTAGGCCATAAAAAAATCTATTTCAAAATATATTGTTTCATAAGACTAATAAAATGTATGAAAAATCTAATTGAAAAGTTCTGAGAAACAAGTTTGTGACATTTACAGAAGAGAAAAGGCCATTGCTTTTATGTGCATAATCATGTTTAGAAATACTTTAGTGACTTTTTACAAAGAACTGCTTTCATGGATTACGGTTGCATTAAAGCATGCCATATTTAAAAAAAAAATGTCAAATTCCTCTCACAATGATGTAAATATCTTTATGCTTCAACGTGATACATCAAAACAGATAACAGAGAGGAGTCCGTTCAAAAACATAAAACACATACAGTGTACATATTGGCGGATTTGACACTTTCCTGACCTTAGCTCATCATTTGACAACTCTAATTATTCATAATTATTGGCTTGCCAAGATGAATCCTGAAGGACATTCAGAGCTAATGGACAAGAGCACAGTAGGATGTGGGTGCATGTTGAATTAATTAGAATTCATAAAATTTATTTTTATAGAGATTAAAATGCAGTCAACTATAAGCAGAGGTCGTGAGACATCCACAACCACGTGGATCAACCACCTTCTCACACCTTTGATCATGGAAACCTTTAAGTGTGTCCTGGGAAACAAGAATTGGAGGTGGGCACATTCCAGTTTGCCTGCTGGTCAGACTTAGAAGGGAGAGGTTATTATGTGATTATAGGAGAGCATACGTCTAAGTGGATGTAACGAATCAGCTCATGGGAAATATGAATAATTAATCATAACTAGTTATAATTAATTATGAATATTTTAGATCCGCTGTAGATATTTAGCTGACCTCTCAGGGTCAACTGTCTTGTCAATTCTAAGAACGTTAATTTCCTGGTTAAGGGAAATAACTTCCTTACTGTACAATTCTACAAAAGCTTGTAGCATAAATCTGCATGATTAAGGGACTCCAGTTATGAGCAAACAATGAACCACGTCAAGTGTGATACAAGTAAGGTTTTATTAACTACATAAACACTTAAACTGGCCCAACATACTACATAAACACTTAAACTGGTCTAACATACTCATACACACACACACACACACAGTTTGTATAGGAAAGGGTTAAAGCTTAACCCTTTAAAGAGAAACCATTTGCATATTCAGCAGATTTACACCTGAGGGAAA